CCCATGAGGTAACGGTTACTAGACCAACATCTCATCCGTGAGGAACTGGGGCTCTGAAGTTTAACTGTATCAAAGATCTCCGGTACCGTCTGCTCAGCAGTGCAACATTTGACCGCACTACAGCCTGCCACGCCAAGCTGTTGCTGCGGTCTGACCAGTAGTCTCACCAGTACTGCACGCATAGCGGCCGCCCGCCGGATCTTTAGATGTTTCCCGCCCACCGCCACAGCAAGAGCCACCACATCTGACCCGGCTCCGAGTCCCAATCTGCCGCAGGCGACGGTCTGCCCGGGCCCTTGCCGTTCGGTCTCCAGCGGGCGGGGCGGACCGCGGCTGCTCCAGCCCGGCTCCCCCGCCTCGCGCGCCGGGACCAGGGCGGGAGCGCCGCGGGGGGCTGCTCTTAAAGGGGCGACGCCGGGGTCCGGAAGCGCCGCGGGAGGCGGGCTTCGGTCGGCGCCGCGAGCCCGTCGGGCGCCCGGGTGCGCGAGGGTTAAAGGAGGCTGGTCTTAAAGGGGCAGCGTCGCCGCAGCCCCGCGCCGGCCGCGCGCGAGGAGGGGCTCCGGTGCTGCTGCTTTAAAGGGGGACCCGCGTCCTGTGGGGAGGAGAGCGCACAGGAAAGGGGCGGGCGCAGCGCGGAGCTGTCAACTCTGGCGACTCTCCTCGCTGCTGACGGTCCCGGGGAGGGACAGCGGCCCCAGCCTGGGCCCCAGGCCTGTGCACCCGGGGCGGGGGTGACTGCACGCGCGTGCTGCCGGCTCGCGCCCCGCTCCACGTGGCCTTCCAGACCCCTTTGCCCCAGCGACGCTAGCCCACGCCCCGCGCCGGCAGGCAAGGACCGGCCCCGCGCGCGGTGCTCCCGGCAGGTCGCGCCCCTTCCCCGCCGGCCCCACCCCCGCCCCCGTCCCCGTCCCTCCCGGGCTTCGGGGCTTCAGGGCTCTGAGGGCCCCAGTCAGGGTGCGCGGAGCTTCCGGGCCAGCACCACGTGCCAAGCTGGTTTTCCAGGCTCGCCTCCCATCTTAGTGCCAAACGTTTGCAACAGGTGTCATCCCGCTTTTGGGGGGCTTCCGACCCCCCAGGTCAAGGGGCTGCACGGAACCCGTGGAGCGGCTCCAAGAGCTTTTCCCACCTCCCATCCCCTCCCGGCCGCAGAGCCTGGGCGTTTGTTCCCTCGCCCCCCACCCCCGCTCCCATGTGAGCTTTGTCCTCCGGTCGGTTCTGACGACCCCTCTCCCAGCTCGGACTCTTCAGCAGACGCTTTCCCCGGCGCCTTCCCCCTCCTCCTGCCCTCCTCTCTCCTGCCTTCTCTTCTCCCTATTCTCTCTACAGGACTTTCCAGAATGTCTAGGTCCCTCCTCCTTGAATTCTGCTTCCCAGGTTCCCAGAACCGGATGTATGGACCACCTGGGTGTGGGAGAGTGTGCATGTGTGGGGAGAGGACTGTGGCCGTGAAAAGATTTCTGTGGGTGGACAGCTTCCCCCCAACTTCTGCCCCTGCAGATGCGAGCCTGACTTTTGGCTTCTGACTCTGTGGGGCAGGACCCTCTGCCTTTCCCATTTCCCTCATCCTCCACAGGAGACCTATGGTATCCAGACACGATGCCCCATTGTGAGGAATCCCCTTCCCAGCACTGCTGTCCTGCCCGCAGTAGTGAGAGAAATCAGAGAACCAAGGCAGGGTGGGGACCGAAAGGGCCCAAAAGGCCATCTTCTGTAAATACCCCCACAGACCTAGAACAGCGGTTCTCAACCTGTGGGTCGCGACCCCTTTGGGGGTCGAACAACCCTTTCACAGGGGTCACCTAAGACCATCGGAAAACACATATATAATTTACATATTGTTTTTGTGATTAATCACTATG